TCAGAGTTTGCGCACAAGGTCCCGCCTCAAGTTCTACCCTCTACATGCCTACACTCAACCATAAACAGTCAATGCAAAGCACCTTATGAATGTTAAGGCATATTTAAATCAGTCAGTTGATCAATGCCAACAAAAGCGACTGGCTCAGACACACACTCTGTCGTGCATCTGGAGGATGACAGGTGCTGACTGACAACTGCTCACGTGAACAGAATGTCTGTAATTGACACAGATTTTCCCTCATGTTGCAGGTTTACAGACGTTTAGAGCAATCTAATGATTTTTATCAAAAACTCAGCTTCAAATTAATTTTCTCTCAGAGCCTGCAGGACGAAAAAACAATAAATAAAATTAAGCAAATCAGATAGTTAAGTTCACCGCTCTTCTCCCCCGTCCTCCTCCCTCCTGCCTGCTGTTATCTGCGGCTGACCATTTCCTCTACCCCTTTGCATATGCAAGCTTTATAAATCCGACCCCTGGACATTTTGATATCTGAATTACTAAAACAGTTGATTGAATGTAGAAGTAGTTTGGGTACAAATAAATGTATGGAAGAAACAATAAATAGTAAAGCTGATTGTCGACTCAGCATATATACAGTACAATAACAAAAGCAAGCAAACATTAAAAACAAGAAGGATAAAAAACAAGCATTTTCCTCAAGTGACCTCATTATCCCACCCTCACCTTGGAAAGGGATGCAGTTTTATCTATTTTAGTCCCGTTTACAGGTAAACACTGTTCAAGAACAAAATGAGCCACGCAGGGATTAAGAAGCAAGACTTCCCACCTGTGGCTGGCATCGCTCCCATTTCCCACTCTTAACCAAAGACCTGTTTTGTGAGGCACGCTGGTAAATGTTCCATCTGTTGGCAAGGGAGCTGGATATGCACTTCAAAAGAAGTAGTGTAAAAGAGAAGACAACAGAGGCAGATGGTGGTGACTGAGCTGGTGAAAGAAGACGTCTTAATTTTATTGACTGAGGTTAAAGAGGATGATCCTAATGTGGTTAGACCAAACCACAAATTTGACAGCAATCAATAGAGAGGCTAAATAATGAGAATAATATTGTACACACACACACACACACACACACACACACACACACACACACACACACACACACACACACACACACACACCTTTAACTCTGACCCTTCTCATAACAAGATGATCTTAAAACTCTAGCATGAAAAAGTGAAGTGCATTCCTTCAAAGAGAGCTGGGTCTTTAATTTTAAAATGTCTTACCTGTAAAATTTTGCACCTCTCCGAGTCACAGTTGATATCTTCACAGGGATGAAACATGCCCAGGGTCACACAGTTCAGCAGGATCACGAGCATTGACGCTCGCTCGAACCATGTGAGGGGTTAGAGTTAAGGAATAAGCCACAAAAAGACTTGAAACAATAGAATTTTCYATGAAAATGCAGTGTGAATGGTTTTACTGAAGCYGAAATGGTGTTGGTAAAGTTTGAACTATCAGAACAAAAAGATACAATTAGCAAAAGCTAAAAGCTAAAATTAGCTAAACAAAAGATAAAAGCAACAATGGCCACAAAATTGGCAGTAAGACAGAACAGTAGCTAAAGGCTAAGGCCATCAAAAATAGTAGCTATAAACTAAAACCAGAAGAACTGAAGCTAAAATGTAAAAAACAAAATATATGCTGCAGATTTCAAAGATCACAAAGTTTTTCAATGATTTAAAAGAACAAAAAACTTAAATAATTCAAAAAGTATAAATGGTACATAAACAAAAGGTCATAGCTGAAATGTTTTAAATGTGCTGGGGTCAGATT